GAATTTGTAGCATCTTCATTCCTAAGGCTTTATGGCACTGGAAACGCGGATATATATAATACAACATTCAATCGTATCACTGCACCTGTCGACGAACCAATAATCTTGATACCCAAAGCAGAGCAAATCTCATTGGACAACTCTTCCCTGAGTATCTGTTCCTTGGCTAACGCCATTGAAAAGACTAATTATCAATACTTCAGCCTAAACAGTCGTGATGACAGCGCACTCGCTCTCTCATGCAGGAAATGTGACTATAACCTCTACTCTTTGCAAAGAGGAATGGCGAGAGATTTGAAGGTAGACCCTAGTTTCCAGTGCCTCCCATGCCCGCGAGGCGCAGTATGTGTTCCATACATCAGATCAAAGTCGAACTTCTGGAGATATAAAACTAGTTCAAATCCGCCTACGTTGGCTTTAATCACTTGCCCGTTTGGCTACTGCAGGTCCCCGCCATCTGACAGCACTGAGTACAATGCATGTCAAGGTAAACGTACTGGTTTTATGTGTGGAATGTGTTCATCTGGCTATTCAGAGACTCTGTGGTTAACAAACTGTACTTTAACACGAAAATGCAACGACTATTGGTTCTGGATTGTATTTCTAGTGTATGTCTTCTTAATGGCAGCTCTCCTCGTCTTCAAACCTCCAATGATAAAATATTCTTTACGAAAGATTTTTTGGTTTAAAACGTTTATAGATGGCAGTCGCTTCGCAAACTGGCAAAAGGCTTCGTACCGTCACGTTGATCTGGCTCCTGAGGAGGACACTTAACAAAACAATCCATCGCTGTCTTCATCAGAACAAACAAAACAAGATAAAAGACAATTTTCGGGTTTATTGGAGATCATCTTTTATTTCTACCAAATATCACAACTGCTTCTCTGGTCGACTTCGCTGACCGAATTCTTTGAAACTGAATTTCTCATGCCCGTCCTTGTCTTCTTCAACTTCCAACCAGGTGTAACAAATCGTGGTTTTGTCTGTCCCATTCCAGGGCTGACACCAAAGACAAAGCTTCTTTTCAAAGTTGCTCAGGTCTTCGGGACGCTCGCTGCAATCTTTCTTCTCTATGCCTTCCACGTCCTCATTCGTTGCAAGAGAGGTTCTCTTCAACCTGACATTTCTCTCTACCTTCAAGCCAGCGTCAAAACAGTGTTCCTTGGCTACGTACGTGACCCTGGCTACTGTCAGTATTTCGCTACTTCGCTGTGCACCCGTTGCAGGAAAGCTAAGATGGTTCTACAATGGGAACGTCGTATTCTATGAATGGTGGCAATATGCATCGTTCATTTTCAATGCTATATTTGTCGTTCCATTCATATTCGTTCTTGCTTGGATTCCGTTCAAACTTTACAAAGATAAAATAACCGTCAGAAATTTTCTCCTAGCTATTGCATGTTTGTCCTTTGTCGTTCTTGTTTCAAAGGCTATTTCACATCGTTTGCCGATCTGAAGACGAACATGCGGAGGAAAGCGAAAATTTGAGCGCCTTGAAAGAGTTGCTTCTAGGTCCATACGCACAGCCAAATGAAACGAGCAAGCGAGGAGCTTTGTATTGGCAGAGCATTTTGATTGCTCGTCGATTTATTTTGGTTGTAATATTTTGCGTGGTGACCGAGCCATCCATCAGATTATTCTGCATGACGCTTGCTTGCCTTTTCATTCTATGGCTTCATCTCAAAATTAAACCATTTCAAAATTCTTTCTCGAACAACCTCGAGTCCATTTCCTTGATGTTTTTGATAGTTTTAGCTCTGTTAAACCTATTTAGGTCCGTGTTTTCTAGTTCTCATCAAAACATCGAGGGACCTTTGGTGCCAGTTTTTAAAGCTTTCAAATGGCTGGAGGTTCTTACTTTAGGGATGTTTCCTGCAATTCTTGTTCTTCTTGTATGCTTTGCGATTATTTCGATATTCGCTCGTTTTCTTTTCGTTTGCAGTAGGGCTTGTCTTGAATGTTTCTCCAGACTTTGTCGCAAGAGGTGTTTGCGAAGGCCGAAGTGATTCGAATACTACTTTTCTGATAAACGTTTGTGACAGGAGCGACGATAAATAGCGAGACTCTTGTCGTGTGTATTGTAAGATACTTGCAAAGTTAAGTTTAGTTGATAAAGTTGATTTTTTCTAGCCAATTGGTAACATAATAAAAAAGTAGTTGTGTTGTGACATAAGCGCATCTTTTCGTGTGTATTGCAAAGTTGAGTTTAGTTGATAAAGATGATTCTTTCTAGCTAATTAAAATCATAAAAAAGCAACTGTACTGTGACAAATGCTTTATTGAAAACCTGTTTTATAAATGTTTTGGAAATATAATATACTGAAAATGCAAACTTCATCCGCGTCTCTTTTTCTTATACTATAGTCTATACGAATTCGGTACGTCTTTTAAAATCGCTTTGATTTTTCAGAAAAATCATGTCTGTGCATCTTAGAAAACGTGACAGAGAAATTGCGTCAAGTTATTTTTGTTTGTACGTTTTCGACGAAATTCACTAAATAAATAAATGAATAAAGGAACCAACCGAGTGCTTTGAAATATAAAAAGAAACTCGACGTTTTGGTGCCGTTTTTGTCAGTAGATTAAGTCGCATGGCTTAGAATGAAATTAAGTTAAGTCATATAATATTTTACGCAGCTGCTCAGTGTATATTAAGGGAGTGTACTATCAAATAAGTGAAATAACCCATATTATTCAAGATTTAATATCCGCTTTAATATTCAGTACAGTACGTACAGATCGATAATGTCATGTGCGCTACAAGCAAAAATCGCCATATAAGACACAGCTTTGAATCTTTAGTTAGTTTTAAAGAAATTACTCTTAAATATATACTTAAAGTTAAATTTTGAATTTATTACGGAACACTTTATTATGAAAACGAAAAAAAAGCAAAAAATAAAATTGAAAATATAGGCGCAAAATGGACTTCCTGTTTGAAAAGGAATTTCATTATGTTCTGTGATGCCCTGCTTATGATAAATTGTTTTCTTCACTTTCTCAGAAGTTCTTTGTACAATTGAGCTGTCAGTTATATCACTGTAACTTTGATTGCTCGTCATTGCTTGCGCTTGTTTTAATCAGAAGATGCTGTTGATCTGGTTGGCAGGATTGTATGCAGTCTTAGTATATTCCTCTGGTGAGAAGGATATCTTTGTTTTTTAAAACTCTCTTCGAAATGTTAAGTAATCGACCTTCTCATTTAAACTTTAAGCTGATGATTAGAGATTTCACATGATTTGTGACATCTGTAAAAAAACTATTACGCGATAGAATTCCGTAACTTTCTTATTTTACAGCTGTTTTATTTTCCAATTCTTGTGCGTCGCTCACTTTGCCTAGTGAAATTCCTGCAGATGCTAACCAAATAGTCCACCTGTATGGGTGTTACGAAATATACACCATTTGTTTAATCCTTTCATTATATTTCAGTGTGTCGTGAATCATCTCAACACTCAATCTATGTATCGCGTTTCAATGGGAATGATACGACAAATTGCGGTACTCCAATATTCCCTTGTCGCAGTATATCTTATGGCATTCTACAACTGACAGAAGGGTCAGTAATCTACCTGGATGGCAAAGAAACGGCCAAAAACCCTTACCAATGCGAAAACCAAGATCCTGGACAACCGGGAATTCGTATTAATTAAAGCATATTATTCGTCAGTATCAGATCACGTGCTTACATCTCGTGTCTCCATGGAAACCCCTGGTTGGTGAACGGAACTAAGCTAATGAACGGTGTACAAGTTGGTTTTCTCGGTCTAAACTTTTTGAATACATCTTTTCGCTTTTTTGACACCTCTGTATTTGCAAAGGATACCGTATTTGCGGAGACGAAACTTACCAGCATGCATATTGAAGTGTTGAACCTGCGGCAATTTGATCTGACGTTGGATTCTGTTATCTTCCAACAGAATAAAGCGTGCATACGAATTGAGGTCGACACTGGGATTGAGGTCTCCATAAACGTAACTAATACGTCTTTCCTTCAAAATGGAAATTCTCTTTCGTCAATTCTTTTTTTATATTGCCGCGAGGGAAATTCTACGATCAGCATTGAAATGAGAAACTGCAGTTTTAAGGAAAACCTCTTTGAGGGATATGGAATGATTTTCATTATAAACCAACTTGGAGCGACGAAGCTTGCAGTCAATCGACTGAGGATGGAAGAAAATAGTCACACAAACGCGAGCGACGAATATGACAGCATGTTTACTCTTTTCACCGACGAATTGTTCATGACATTTGATCACGGGTTTATTTACAAAACATTTGCCACTTCTCTTTCTGTGATTGGAGGTTCAGCGCACATGAACATCTCAAACTTTCAATTAGACGGATACAATTCGATCATTTTCGCTGGTGGTTTATTTGAAGTGTTTGTCGTCGCTGAATGTAACCTTCACATTCGTGATTCTTGTTTTCGTAATGGCAGAAACACTGGTTCGGGCGGTATAATTACAATCGACGCGTCGTTTTCGATGCTAACTATTCAAAACTCAAATTTTGAGAACATTTCGACATCAAATTACGGTGGAGTGATATATATTGGTAACGTGGTATATATTGGTAAGAACCAAGAACCACCAGAATCGAAGAATTCCGTCTTTCTAAGTATAATTAACTCATCGTTCTCAGGAATCGTAACGGGAGCCAATGCTGCGGTGTTCATACTTGCCAACAACCTTATTGCAATTGTTCGTGGCAGTTCATTTCTGAGAAATATTGGCGGGGCTTTGTTTATTATTATCGACGAAGCTGCTACAGTTCGTCTTGACGATGATAATTTTCATGAACATAGCGCCATTGATTTTGGTATTGTGCAAGCGGATGTCTCACCTGAAACGTCGACATTTAATCTTCAAACCAACAACGTGAGCTTCGTTCGAAACAAACTGTCAGGAATTGGCGCTTTAGGTGTATTGTATTTGGCACTTGAAGATACACCAGGTGATGTCACTTTAAAAAATACGCGTTTCCTCGGAAACCTAAATATGGCTGGTAGCAGTATTTTTGTTTCTTCAAATAAATCTAGATTAAATAATGTAACTTTGGATGACTGTGTATTTCGGGAGAATATTGGCTTGACAGGAATAATAACAATCATAGGTCAAACTTCACTGACATGCAAAAATTCTATCATCGATTCAAACAGGATTATTCCTTGCACGACGGCCGTAATATTGCTGTTATTGAACAATTCAAAGATTCTGATTACAAATACAACATTTAAGAACAATTCCTGCAAAGCACTTAATGTTTTATTGGAAGGAACTACCTCGCTAAGAATAGAAGATTCCTCGTTTTTCCGGAACAGGAATTTGGACAGTTCAGGGGCGCAATAGAATTAGCATTTCTCCCGATTTGTTCAGTTATAAGTCGCAGGAAGAAAACTGTTTTAACCGGATCTTTCAGGTTGTTATTGTCAATGTATTGTTCAAAGAAAATATCGCTTTAGTTTCCAGCGTTTTGGCGGTCACAGGAGTAAAAGTGAAATTAACAAATTGCACAATTTTGAATAATTTTGCCCGGTTCCAAGGCGGTGACATTGTTAATCGTGGTCAAGCGGATCTGAGTTTATATCATTGTGTGTTTAGGCAAACTATTCCGAAGATCATTGCGAGTAATGGGGCGGAATTTGTAGCCTCATCTTTCCTACGATGCTACAGCACTGGAAAGGGGGATATATATAATACAACATTCAATCGCATCACTTAACCTGTCGACGAACCAATAATCCTGATACCCAAAGCAGAGCAAATATCATTGGATAACTCTTCCCTGAGTATCTGTCCCTTGGCTAACGCCATTGAAAAGACTAATTATAAATACTTCAGCCTAAACAGTCGTGATGACAGCGCACTCGCTCTCTCATGCAGGAAATGTGACTATAACTTCTACTCTTTGCAAAGAGAACGGGGAGAGGATTGAATGTAGACTCTGGTGTCAAGTGCCTCCCATGCCCGCGAGGCGCAATATGTATTCCATACATTAGATCAAAGTCAAACTTTTGGGGATATAAAACTAGTTCGAATCCACCTACGTTGGCTTTCTCACTTGCCCGTTTGGCTACTGCAGGTCCCCGCCATCTGACAGCACTGAGTACAATGCATGTCAAGGTAAACGTACTGGTTTTATGTGTGGTGTGTTCATCTGGCTATTCCAGGCTATCTGGTCAACGAACTGTACTTTAACACGAAAATGCAACGACTATTGGTTCTGGATTGTATTTCTAGTGTATGTCTTCTTAATGGCAGCTCTCGTCGTCTTAAACCTCCAATGATAAAATATCCTTTACGACAGATTTTTGGTTTAAAACGTTTATAGATGGTAGCCGCTTCGCAAACTGGCAAACGGCTTTATACCGTCACGTTGATCTGGTTCCTGAGGACGACACTGAACAAAACAATCAATCGCTGTCTTCATTAGAGCAAACAAAACAAGATAAAAGACAATTTTCGGGTTTATTGGAAATAATCTTTTATTTCTACCAAATATCACAACTGCTTCTCTGGTCGACTTCGCTGACCGAATTCTTTGAAACTGAATTTCTCATGCCCGTCCTTGGCTTCTTCAACTTCCAACCAGGTGTAACAAATCGTGGTTTTGTCTGCCCAATTCCAGGGCTGACACCAAAAACAAAGCTTCTTTTTAAAGTTGCTCCGGTCTTCGGGACGCTCGCTGCAATCTTTCTTCTCTATGCCTTCCACGTCCTCATTCGTTGCAAGAGAGGTTTTCTTCGACCTGACATTTCTCCCTACCTTCAAGCCAGCGTCAAAACAGTGTTCCTTGGCTACGTGACCCTGGCTACCGTCAGTATTTCGCTAATTCGCTGTGTCCCCGTTGCAGGCAAGCTCAGATGGTTTTACAATGGAAACGTCGTATGCTAAGAATGGTGGCAATATGCATCGTTTATTTTCAATGCCATCTTTGTCGTTCCATTCATATTAGTTCTCGCTTGGATTCCGTTCAAACTTTACCATAAAATAACCGTCAGAAATTCCTCTAGCTGTTGTTTGTCCTCTGTCGTTCTTGTTTCAAAGGCTAGTCCGCATGTTTGTCGATCTGAAGACGAACATGCCGAGGAAAGCGAAAATTTGAGCGCTTTAAAAGAGTTGCTTCTAGGTCCATACGCACAGCCAAATGAAACGAGCAAGCGAGGAGCTTTGTATTGGCAGAGCATTTTGATTGCTCGTCGATTTATTTTGGTTGTAATATTTTGCGTGGTGACCGAGCCATCCATCAGATTATTCTGCATGACGCTTGCTTGCCTTTTCATTCTATGGCTTCATCTCAAAATTAAACCATTTCAAAATTCTTTCTCGAACAACCTCGAGTCCATTTCCTTGATGTTTTTGATAGTTTTAGCTCTGATAAACCTGTTTAGGTCCGTGTTTTCTAATTCTCATCAAAACATCGAGGGACCTTTGGTGCCAGTTTTTAAAGCTTTCAAATGGCTGGAGGTTCTTACTTTAGGGATGTTTCCTGCAATTCTTGTTCTTCTTGTATGCTTTGCGATTATTTCGATATTCGCTCGTTTTCTTTTCGTTTGCAGTAGGGCTTGTCTTAAATGTTTCTCCAGACTTTGTCGCAAGAGGTGTTTGCGAAGTGATTCGAATACTACTTTTCTGATAAACGTTTGTGACAGGAGCGACGATGAATAGCGAGACTCTTGTCGTGTGTATTGTAAGATACTTGCAAAGTTAAGTTTAGTTGATAAAAGCCCCGTTTACACTACACTGAATTTATCAGCACGGCACGGCTAAAATGGGCACCCGTACCCAATTTTATTAGTGTTCAGGCTACCAAAACAAAGGCCGAGTACAGATGAAATGGGTACGGGTGCCCATTTTAGCCGTGCCGTGCCAATAAATTGAGTGTAGTGTAAACGGGGCTAAAGTTGATTTTTTCCAGCCAATTGGCAATTAACATAATAAAAAAGCAGTTGTATTGTGACATAAGCGCATTATTGAAAAACATGTTTAATAAATGATTATAATTATAATCTAAACTGTAAACTTCATCCGCGTCTGTTTTTGTTATTCTATAGTCTATACGAATTCAGTACGTCTTTTAAAATCGCTTTGATTTTTGAGAAAAATCATGTGTGTGCATCTTAGAAAACGTGCCAGAGAACTTGCGTCAAGTTATTTATGTTTTTACGTTTTGGTTTATGTACGTTTTTATTTATGTTTGTACGTTTCCATTTCAGGCGGATCCAGGGTTAGGCTGAATAAATTACGAGGCTTAATTTTAAATTCAAAATACTTTAATAGCAAGCTATTGGTTTTCAATTTCTAAAGAATTGCATACAAGGTCACACTGATGAAGGATTTCATGGAGAGAGGATACATGGGTTATAAGTGCGATTTATTTTTCGCAGACGACAAAGAAAAAGAAGCCAACGATGTCAAATCACCTGGCCAAGAAATGGAAGAAACGATCCTGAAGCGTTCCAAAGTCCTCCGCAAACTCCGCCACCACAAGAAGAACTCGCACTAACGGGTCATGTTAATAGACAACATTAACGACAACAGCGCACTAGCGTATAAGACTGGCAACTAGTTTCATATAATCTGCAATCTTTTGCAGAAGGAGTAAAATTATCCGACTAAGAAGATAACTATAAGACAATTTATTTAACTGTTTCTATTTAAACCTGTCCCTTTTGTTGCTTGTGCAACACTGTAATATACCAAAATTTGAACATTCTCAAAGAAATTGCATTAAATATTTTGAGCTATAGTCAATCACTCTCTCGTAATTTGGAACTGTACATTTCTGTATTAATAAAGTTCAAATGTTTTCTTTATTATGCTGCCTGGATTATCGTTACGTACAAGATTTTCAGTATAGTATAGATCTTCCTCTTAGAAATTAATTGTTTCAGTCATTGAGACCTCTCTGGTCATAGAAACAGCTGTAAACCTTTTCATCAAACTGTTATTTTTCTGACCGGGTATTGGTTGTTGTAATTGTCAATTTTACTTTGTTAGGATAGACACATCAAGATGCTCTTATCTGATATTCAGTTTTCCTTTAAATTGTCAATGTATAAATTGAAACTGTAAGTTCTGTAGGCAAAAGTAGCCAAATTACACCACGCGCGCGGGTTATTTTACTCATGCAATCCAGATTGTCTCAAGATATAAACGACAGCAACATTTTGATACATTTTTTCAATATTATTTATTTAAGTTGTACTTTACGTTAATCTCCTAGTCACCAGTCTTCCATTGCAATTTTGGAATGGCCAAATTACTAGTAATCCGACCGACTAAAGGCCATGTTACAATGGCCCGACTAAAGGACAAGTTGCAATGCACTTTTACTTTTAAAAGATGTAAATTAGTGTCTTGAAAATGTAAGTGTAAGAAACGCCATGGAATGTAATGACAAAAGTTTGGTCGTTGCCAAATTTACATCACTCAAAAGAGGAATTGCATTGCAAGTTGCAGGAAAAATTGCACCGTGTAACAGGGCCTTAAGACAACAAACTTTACAGGAATATAAGTAAACATTAGAATAAAATGTTCATGAGCATGCCAGCATGGTCCATTGGGCTAAAAAAATAATAAACAGTGTCACTGTGTTGCAGAGAAAGGGAAAAATTTTAAACGAATTTTAAAAAAACAGAACTGACATATTTTACACTGTTTAAAAAATATACATTTGGAGTCAAGTCTATAACTATTTGTAAAATCACAGTGTTGTAAAATTAATATCTACATAGTTTCTTTTATTTCGTTCACTGGGAATATTTTCAGAAATATTCCCTATATTAGAGAGATTTGTTCGCATATTAAACTGCGATATTTCTTAAAATATTCGGTCCTGTCGGTTTATTCAACACCAATTCTGTTCGCTCTATTTCTTAATGACGGAGTGTTTGTTCAAAGAAATTAAAAACATGTGAAATTTGGACAACTTTTGAATCAATAGACTCGCTCAATCCTTTGATCAGAACCGACGCGCTGAAATAGATGGAATCCCTCATATCTCAAAATATGCTGACATTTTGAAATTATTTTAGGGTTATTAAAAAGATATTCGAATAAAACCACAGAATCAATGAATTTCCACAATGCTTTCGCTAATCGCTATAGACCACTTGCATTACCCGCCATTTTGGGGGAAAATGTCATAGTTTTCAAATCTTTCACTTTGATCTTTGATGAAATTGACACACTGTTACTTGCATCTGTCAGTGCATTGTTTTAGCGCATAAGTAAAAATCGCTTATTAGACTGCCTATGGTAATACCTGTGATGTTGTCCATGATTATTACTATTACACTGCCCAATTTGAAAATAAAATTGACATAATATACGCAGATCATCATTTATCAAGGCAATACCAAGGAATTTTAAGAAATTTAGGTAATGTCTCAGCAACTATATCAGGGCCAGCCCAAAAGTGGAGATCCAGTTACTGGACTGTGTTATGGAAACCTACAATATATTTTCTACTTTTCAAACTTGTTACAAAATTGACTTCCAAATTATTTTAGACACTTATAAGTTGCCCTCCAGTCATCTGCTTTCACCACCCCCTTCTAGAAATCCTATATCAGTGCCTGACTATAGCTGCTAGTATGGCACCTGGTGTAGCTTTTCTTTTAGTTGCAGTGATTTCATGTTTCAAACTTTGACAAATGCAAGGGGGTTCTCACTCTTGATTATCCTTAATGACCCCATGCATTACCTAGCCCTCTTGGGGGTATGGTTTAGGAAATTAAGAAGGTTTGTTAAAGATTTGATGAGACACAATCCTTAATCAATGTGCAGTTCATGTGTATGATACATTGTATTTTGCTTCATTGCAATGTTTCAGAACAGAAAATGCAAGCTATCTCTTGCTTTTTTTCCAATTAGCATCTTATTCCTGCAAAATAAGAGGGATCTGATAAGTCTCACAGTGCTCAATTTAGTCTACCCTTTATTAATAGTTAATAGTGGGTACAATTAAGGTACAGAAAGAATAATTATTAAACCCTGATAAATTTTGTCAAAGAAAATATTATTAGAAAATATAACTACTGATAGATGCTTTATATACTAAAGTCCAAACAGAAGAAATGAAGATATTTTAATTTTTTAAAACCCTTTGTAGTTGCTTACCTGATTTCCTCCTCAATAAAGCATTTAGAGCGCATCACAAGAACAGCAAGAAACCACTTCTTTGTTCAATTTTTAAAAAAAGGAACACCCGAAAGGAAACAATTTGAACTTCTTAGTTAAAAAACAAAAATTGGGGGGGAAAATATTCACCAAGCACCAAAAGTATTTTTAGTCAAAACCCCAGAAGCAGATGGGCATGATATAATTGGATTGTGGTATGTCTGTGAATGTGATCATTACCATGGTCATTTAGGACCATTTGGGCTGTGGCGTGGGCTTTGGGCTGTGGCGTGGGCAAAGCCCATAGCCAGAATTTAAAAATGACAACCACTAGGGAGGGGAGGAATCTGTACAAATAGGATATATTATGCATTGTTTTCAAAAGTTCTTTGTCTCTTTCTTTTGTCATTGCTATGCCCCTATAAGAACAGTCATATGCAAGTAAGTTGCGGAAAAATTCCTAGGGCAAAGCCTAAAATCCGCCATGCTTTCTGCTTCACTTGGAGATGGGCCAGATGGCGAGCACTTCCAGCAGGAATTATAGCAGAGCTCAGCGATCGTTTCCCACAAAACATAGCACAAAATAAAATTCTTTAAAATTCTTTATTCTATATTTTTCATTTACCTTTTTATGCCGGAAACTCTTTGTACATTATTAGCCTTTCCAATAGGACCACTCCAACCAGAGTAGACGTCATACTTTTCACCTGAAAACCTTCATTTTCTAAAATACGAATGAGTTCCATTTTCATCAATTGGAATTTATTGTCGTTGCCCTTTTCTTCTAGGAGAGTTAATGTTAATCCTATAACATTAAAGTTTTCCCCATTTATGTGCGACCATGGAAACACTCCAGTCTGTCTAATTATTTCAGAGAGTCGTTCCACTTCTTCTTTGTCGCCGTACAACTTAATGCTTCCCGGCCCTCCCTTGTCGAGAGAAGAAGCACAGTTAATACTTGACTGAATTTGCAAATGCCTGTATTTGACCGACATAGTCTCATCAGATTCTGTAAAATGTATCAATTTGTGCTATTTTCTTATTTTTCTAATTTCTAGCATAGACCACGTGATTTGAAACCATTTTAGATCACATGGTCTGAAATGGTTAAGTTTTATTGGCTACTCTATGGTACCAACTGGTGTAGCTTTTCTTTTAGGGGCTGTCTTTTCTTCTATGGGCTGTGCAGAGTCTTTTCAGCCCGGCTTTCAGGACAATGTCTTCTGGATTGTCTATTTAGCTGATCTAGGTATAAAAATCAACTAATCAGAAGCCAGATCTTCGACAAAACTGAATTATCATTTCCTTCATTGCATTATGACTTCGACACTCGAAATATCAAGTAATTTTATTATATTTAGGCAAAAACACGCTTATTTTTTCTCAACTGTAAATTAGAATTTAAATTTTTCGCCCTTTATACTATTAGTTAGAAAAATAAGGACAAATAACACCAGGCACATGATAACTCAGTTTTGTCGAGACGCCTTATGACGTCATGATCTCAGATCAGCTGGATGATGGTACTTTTAGCCATAAGTATAGCTCATAGACATTATATCTACGGTATAGCTCAGTGTTTTTGCTCATTGTTTTGTGTCACATGTGTTGGCCGCACGTGCTAACTTTCGGTGAGCTTGGCAAGACGCCTAGGCAAGTGTCATGAAGATTTTTTCAAGATGAAAGTTGCTTTTGTGAAAAATCTGAAGACCCCCTCCATCCTTCTTTTGAAAAATGTTAAATCAAATCAGGACATCGCACTAAAGTTTTTTGTTTAAATCGGCATTTATTTGTCAAAAATTCTCAATTCTTCTACCGATTTACTCAGTTAAAAGTTCTAACATGACAGTTGCCAAGCAAATTACGCATGCGCACATTGTACGAAAGTAAAATCGTGTAATTTGGCTTCAGTTTCACATCTGTGTCTGTCTCATATGTACTTGAAGGTAAGATTATGAGCTGGGGCGAGTTGTATAAAAAGCTGGTTAGTGGTTAACTTTTAACTGTAGTTCGTGACCAGTGAACTCTAATAATTTTATTTCGTTATTTTACTGATTGCACTGTTCGTCACAGAATTGGCCAATCAGAATCGTGAATTTCTGAGTTAACCAGAATTTAACCATGCAAAATGTAGTGAAGAGTTTCATACAACTGGCCCCAGAACTGCTGAAGGTTATGGGTTGATCAGCAAGGATCCTGAAGAGTGAAGACTGTTTTCCTAACTTTTTTAGCTAAAAAGAAGTCAAATCTGACATTGAGAACATACACAGTCGACCTAACAAGAACAGCAGGCACAGTTTTTTTGTAAAAATGTGATAATTTCATGTGTAGGGTACTTAAGTATTGGTCAAATGGGATCAGTGGGATATAGACTCGGGAGAA